GCTCTGGGGGGGTTTGGGGGGGAAGGGGGGTGGGCATGCATGCTGGCTGGGAGGGAGGGGGGGAGGGGGAGTGACGAAAAAAGCGGGAAGAGGTGCAAGGCAGGGGCGCGCCTGGGGCAACGGCGAGAGGACGAGGGAGGGTGGACAGGGTGGTGGCACATGGAAGGGTGGGACGCATAGCGGAGGAGGAGGGTGAAAAGTTGGGTCGACGCAAGTGGGCGGGAAGGGGAAAAGATTGCAGGAGGAGGTGATATGGAAAGTGGTGGGTGAAGCGATGGGACGGGAGAAAGAGCAGGCAAGGGGAGAAGGCAACAAGAGTGGGAGCAGGTGACGGGTCTACGTAGCCCCCCCCCCCGGTCCCCTAAGAAACTCCTCACCGTATAGTTGACCGTTCGTGTACCGCAGCACCTGCATGCACTCCTGGTTCTCTGCATTGCAGCAGTTGCAAGATTGTGGGGAGTCCACTGGGCAGGGTGCTCATACCGCGCATACTGCTTGTTTGCAGACGTTTGCGCCCACTACCCGCACGTCGCTCATTGAACGTCTGATGCCACAAGCCTGCGCCGCTCCTGCTCGACCGCCTGCCAGCATCACCACGAACGTGCCCGCCCTGCCGCTGGTGCATCCCCTGGGTCACCTCCCCAGTCTGCGCTCACGCTTGGGCAGCATCGTGACCTGCGCCACGCGCTTCTCAATGGCGGCCACCACCTCGTCCTGGCTCTCATCCAGGAAAGCCCCCGTGCTGGTGCGCGTGGTGCTGGCCGCCAGACCCCCCGTCTTGTCGTCCGCGACGGCGCTGCTCTCCATTCGCGGCTTGGCCTTGGGGGGGGGGGTAGGAGGGCGTCGGGCAGACCATGGGCAAAGGGGTGGGTGTTGGGCTCGTGGCATGTCCGTGCCAGCTGCACTCGCGCCGTCCCACCAGCCCTGCGGTTGGGACGGCCAGTGCTCCTGTGCGCAGAGCCGCTAGCGGACCTGCATGAGAGGCACGCTTTTAGGGCCGGGTGGCCCACTGGATCAGCAGCCTCGGAGCACACGACCGAGCCGATGTCTCTGTATCATCGCATCCGAGCCTCGGCTACCAGGGCCCACAAGCCCAGCTCTGCTCACGAGTGCGATGATGTGGTCGCATTCTTCATCTGACAGGAAACCCCGGTACAGAAAGGCGCGCGGTCGCCACGACAAGAGCGTCACCTCCCCCCGCCACTCCTCCTGGCGGTTGGGGGTGGGTGGGGTCGGTTGCCGGGCACGGGCTGACACGAGCAGATAGGCATGGCCGCTGCGTGCACGGGCGCCGGCACGCGCATACAGATCAGGGTATGGGATTCCAGCCACTCATTGCAGCACTCTTCTGAGGTACAGCGAGAGATCCGCCTTGCAAGCGCTGCGGCTCCTGCGGGGGCGCCCGAGGTGCACCCGCTCATGACCCGGTCACACGCCACATGAGCAGGTGCCTCGTGCTGGGGATACGACATCACCTCTAGCTCTCCGAAACCAATAGATTCCTTGATTGGGGGGCCCTCGGCCGCGGTCATAATGCCGTGCACACTGCACATCAGCAAGAGTGCAACCACGGGCCCCGTCCATGAGTGCACCATGTAGACCTCCAAAGATTGGTACAACAGCACGCCTTTCTATGCTCAGCCCTACACTGGATCGGATAGCATACACTGTACTGTAGATCAAAAGATCAAAGCTTCCTTGATTGCGCTCGTGCAATGTGCGCAAATCAGACAGAAATCAAGGCGTGATCATATCAGATAGATTGCCATCGAGCTGATGCATATCACAGAGGACACCCCGTGCGGGCGCTCAGACTGCAGGCTGGACTGGTGACGATGAAATGTTTGGCCTGCTTGCACAAATGTTGCGAGTCATGACTGTTGCCTTTTAGCTGTTACAGTTAATTTTTGAAGATCTCTCATGGCTCATGAACACTCACTAGGTGCGCTGTATCACTTGTTCCGAAATCCTGGGTTGTGCACCCTGGCATTCTGCATTCCACGTGAATCAGCAATGCACTGCATTGAGGAGCGTGATGCACATTGGATTCAACAAAATGTATAACTCTGCTGCTATCAATATCGCTGGTGGATGTTTTTCATACTTTGCTGGATGAGATGGCATTGTAGTTGCAGGACTCCTTGAAATTGATGGCACGGAGCCTCAGCCTGCTGTGCTGCCACTGCACCACCCTGCATGGCTCTGCACATTGAAGCAGGGCTTAATGGAGATGGTTGTGGTTGAGCTGTCCCCTGTTGTCAAGCTGCGATGCACGACAACAGGCCATCTGCGCAACGTTGACGAAAACCTCGGTCCCATATCCGGTGTTGCATAGTACCAGACGCCCAGATAAACCCCCCTCTTCCCCGTGCATGGAACAAGGCACAGCGGAGTCAGCATTCTTTGGACACACGGCCGGCAGGGGAATGACAGATGTCCGAGCAACCAATCACAGCTTGCGCCTGCCACAACTCTTTGTCATAGATGTGGGGTTTAACCCTCCTCGGATGCCGAACATTGTCCCCCCTCACTGTTTAAAAAACATGTGTGACCTGGAAGTTACCCAAACCTAAGGGGCTACAGCAGTATCGCATGCACAGACCAGCACATGCCAGGTCGTCACTCCTCGGCCCCCTCCTCAGCGCCTTCCCCGGCCTCCTCTGCCGCCGCTGCAGCAGCCGCCTCTGCGGACGCTGCCGCCTCCGCAGCCGCCGCCTCCTCGGCCGCGGCTGCATCCGCCCTGACCTTCGCCTCCTGCGCCGCAGCCACCCCCTCTTCAGCCTTGACCACTGCGGCCTCGGCCGCCTCCAGCTGCGTGCGCGCCGCCCGCTGCGCCGCCGCGGCGCGAGACACAGCCCGAACCTGTGGGCACATATACGTGGTTGCGGAGTGAGAGCTGCACCACGGCAATTGCCAGTACTGTGCACTGCCGTAGGCACGCTCAGCCCCAACCGCCGGCCACCGCCAGGACTCAAACCATCACAACCAAGATTCCGGGTTCGCACCCAACAGATTGAAAACCCAGGCAAATGGGGCGCGCACAATGCCATTCAAACATTCTAGACCCCCAGCAACACCGGAGTAGGAACCGAGTGGCCCAAGGCAGGGCGCCGTTTGCCGCCACCCCACCTGCTCGACCCAGGCCAGCAGCAGCACCCCCAGGCAGGACTGAGGCAGCTCAGTCTCTAGCGCCGCGAGGTCGCGCGTCGCGGCGTTTACGAAGGCACGCACGCTGCGGCAAGATGCAGGACCAACGCGCCAGAGGAACAGCACAGAGGGCCATTGTGTTGCTGCAGGTGAAGCTCAGCCTATGTGCATGCCTGCAGCGCATGCGCATGCGCAGGCCCTCACCCTCCACCCTGCCCGTGTCCCTGCATGTATATTTGTCACCAACCCCAGGTGCATGAGAAGCCAGCCACATACAACTGCCCACCCACCTCTTCCACAGCGCGGGGTCAATGTCGGCGCGGGCGTCAAACGCTGCGAGCTCCTCAAACAGCCGCAGCCCCAGGTGCCCGCTGACTTCCCGCCAGCTACCCAGGGCACCTGGCTGGCGACCCAGCAGTAGCAGTGCCGCACAGAGTGCACGCAGTGTAGCAGGCGGGCTCGAAGGCAGCATGCGTAGTGCGCGTAGTGCAGAGCCGCGGACCCCAGCAATGGCCTGTTGAGCGATGGATCATAATAAAACAACACAGCGGGGGGGGGGGGAGAGGTTGTCAAGGAAGGGGCATGGCTGGTAGGTCTGCATTTGCGTGTGGACACAGACGGTGCACACACACAATGGCGCCGCTGGCCGGCAGCTCGCAGTCGCCCGGTGCGCAAACAGATAAACTTCAAGCCTGTTTGACCCCCCCCTTAAACAGGCGCGCAGGTGGGTACATAATGAACACAGTCTATATACATGCTCAGGGGTTGTTCGAGAACTCCTCCAACGTGTCCGTTACGCAACTCACCTCCTTGATCACCGCAAGCGCTCCCTCCTGCGTCCCCAGCACCACCTCCGCGTTGGAAGCTGACACCTTGGCCGCCGATGCGGCTGCCTTGCGCTGTGCCAGTGCGGCTGTCGCTGCATCGATTGCCTCCTGGGGACTGGCGGCGTCGGCTGCTGCAGCGGCGGCGTCATCACCCTCAGCGGCAGGATCAGGCACTGCGTAGGCGAGGGGAGGTCGAGGCGAGGGCGGGTGACAAACTGATGGAAAACGGCCCGGCCCAAAAGCGCACCCAACTTTTCGGTGCCAGCACACGGCTTGGCCAGCATCAGCTTTGCCTTCCGAGCACCGGGCAGATGCCATCCTGCATTCTCACCGACTGCCTCATCAAACCCTCCACCACTAGCCGGCCCCTCACCTTCCGGCAGCGGCTCTGGCGGCGCTGCGGCCGCAAACACCTCCTCAAACGCCTTCCTCAGCGCCGCAACAGCTGCCGGCCCCGCCGCCTCGACACTCGCCATGCCGCCTGCCGCGTCCTTCAGCCGCGCGGCCTCGCTGGCATCCAGCGCCGCGCCCAGCGCACGCGCCACGTCAGACACAAAGCTGACGTCATCCGGTGCCAGAGGCTGGCCGTTGCCCTCTGGGTGCAGGGTGTCCACCGCCAGGATGCAGTGATACGACCCCGAAGCCAGCGCATTGCCGGCAGATGCACCAGCGGCGGCGGGGGCGTTTGCGCCCGTGGCTGCAGGCCCCGACTTGGGTGCTGCGGCGGCAACGTACGAGCCAATTTTTGGCAGGCCTTGCGCATTGAGGAAACGCACACGCGGCTCCAGCGCCACGGTCGGCACCTACGGCGCGTTTGGTGGGGCAGTACAAGAAAAGGCGTTCAAGGGCCGCCACGCAGGCACATGTGTGGCAGATGTTGCGTGATTCATGTTGCAGACCGGCTGCCATCCTGGGACCTACGACACGACCCAAAACGCCTCCCTCCGCTATCGCTGACAAAGGAACACGTCATCTCACCTCTAGCAGCGGAAGGTGCTCATCCAGTATGCGGAATGTCACAGGAGCCGTCACCCCCTCTGCCGACCCATCCGCGGGGGCGCCATCGCTTCCATCTGCCGCAGCCGCCCGCCGCCTCAGCTCGAGCTTCGTCATGAACTCCTGGCCGGGGCTGGCCGCCACATACGACAGGTGCTTGGAGGAGTAATCAGGCCGAGCCAGCTGCTCCGCCCCCGGGTGCTCGCCGTCCTCTGCGCCCTCCCCGCCGCTCGTGTCGCCGCCCTCGCCAGCCCCCTCTGCCTCCTCGCCTGCAACGTCGTGCGCCGCCGCACCGCTGCCCGCCAGCACCAGCATCACGCCCGCCGCAGCACGGGGGCGACCACCGGCCTCCTCCTCAGGAGCATCGTCCGCGCCAGCCACGCCCTCGTCGTCGCCTGCAATCTGCTGCTCTGGCTCCTCAGCACCCACGATGTTTGCCACGTACGCGCTGACACCTGGAATCTGCTTTTGGATCAGGTCCACAGCGGCCTGCCACACACGGCGCGGCTCCTCCGCCATCGACGCCAGGGCGGCCACAGCAGCTGCTCGGTTGGCAGCTGCTGCGGCGGCCTTGGTGGCAGCATCGCGGGCCTGGGCCTGGCCATTCAGGAATTGAGCGGAGATGGACGGGTGCTTGACGAGAAATGCCAGCAGGGTTCCCAAGGCTGCCAGGTGAGAGTGCACATACAGCTGCGCGCACGCCTCCACCAGGCTGCTGTTTGGGGCTGCTTGCGCCGTTCCCCCCAAACCCGCGCCACGCATGCCGCGGCTGCTGCCAGCCGCTTTCGTGGGCTCTGCGGTGCATGGGCGAGGGCACCTTACTCCCTCCCAGGGTCCTGGCACCCCGGGTAACAAGCAAGGTGTGCACTCCTGCGCTGCCGCGCACCTCCATGCATTTTGCCTGCTGCGCCACCATGTCCCGCTCGCTGCGGCGATCCCGTTCAAGCTCCAGCTCCTGAACGCTCCTGGCAAAGTGAGAAAGAACAATGGCAGCAACAGATGGTGTTGCAAAATCATCTGGGAGGGTACAAGCAGGGCTGATTCAGGCGGCAAGGATGGGGTCAAGCAATCCACAGGCTGCCACCATGCGGCGCATATCTACAAGTTGTTGGGGCCCCTTCAGTCATCCGGCTGGATGGACTCAGTTGGGCACTCCACACGCCCCCACATATATCAACATGCACTTGCCATGCGCAAGTGCACTCACGGCGCAACTGCAATCAAAATACAGCATGCACATGCACGTGCACATGCGCGTGCGCGTGCGCATGCGCATGCGCAGGCAAAAAGGCAATTCGCACCTGAGCAGCCATGATGCCAAGAACTCGACTGGGTCTGTTGGTTGAGCTGCAGCTGTCGCTGCAACCCCCTTGGCGAGGGTGTCGCCGAGAGTGGCTATCAAATACGCTGATTCATCGCCAGCGGACATGGTGCCGCTGGCTGGCGGGCGATGCGCGCGCTCTGCTGCCGCTGCTGGTGTCACTGCTGCTGTCTGATGTTCGCTGTCAACAGCTCTTTTAAAGGCTGCAGATTCGTTCAACAGACTTGAACATTCATCAGTGATTACCAACAGGGACGGATGTCCGAGCACAGTTTCCCGCTTCGACGATCCGGGGCTCAAACAACGAAGACCAAGGCGATCTGCAGGGACTGTTTATTTTGACAGCAGGTCGCCAATTCTAGAGGCGTGATATAGACTACGGCACCGACTCACCTATCGCGGTCCAGATCAGTCAAAAAGATTGGTCCGTCACCGTCGGTTAATGGCCGTGCAATCACGCTCCTGAACGCAAATGCAGGCACTGATGGGATCCGAGTGTCTCTCATGTCTTTTTACGCGTCACACACTCCAGCGCACTTGGGGGGGGGGGGGGTCAGCCGCCTGTTGGCTGGACGGCACAACGCACAAGTTGCACGGCCATATCGATGTGCAGGCCCGTATAAATCATGTGGCAGCGTGGCTCAAGGAGCGATCAGGAAGACATTGGCTTACTCTTGTATCTTGTGTTTGTGTGTGTGTATGTGTGTGTGTTTGTATTGTGTGTGTGTGTGTGTGTGTGTGCGCGCGCGCTTGCGTGCGTGCGTGCGTGCGTGCGTGCGTGCGTGCGTGCGTGCGCGTGTGTGTGTGCACGCGCGCGCGCGCGTGCGCGTGCGCGTGCGCGCTGAGCAGGGCGCGTGAGGGCGAAGGTGCGGCGGGATGGAAGGCAAGCTGCGGGCGCCAGCAGAAGTTTAGTGCCTGGCGGTCAATGTCTCAGTCGGTGTTGTTTTACATTTGCTGACAAAACACACGCACATCAACACTTTGCATTGCAGTGCTTTTTTTGCTGTGGTTGAGTCATAGCAGTGGCTAGCAATGGGTGAGTCCGTCGTCAGTGACGCAGTTGGGCACAGCTTGCGCCATGAGCATGCACGCCCCTACAAAAGATCTTGCAACTTGCTTCCCAGCAGATGTACAGCAGCCACCTGCGCTTGACTATTCACTGTGTGCCAAAGTGTTTCACCGTCTCCGGCGCATGTCCTGCAGCAGACACTTCCGCCAAATCCCTCGTGTTCACCCCTGTGGCATCTTGGTTGCTCGCGCACGCAACCAAGATGAGTGCTGTCAACACAATGGCCAAGCACTCAAATGATCGGTGTCGCGTGTGCCACATTGGCGTGTGTTACAGCCATCATACCGCAACGCTTGCAGCAGCCAGCAGGAAATGTAAGGGCAGCCTGCCTGGTCTAAATCACCACTGCGGTGCGATGCTCTGGTGCATTCAAGGTGGTAGATTAGTTCAAGATGAATGAATGGCATGGCACAAGCCCCAACCACACACTTCAGGAGCCCGCGTCCGCGATATGAGGCCAGCACGCGCTGAAAGCCAGTCTTTGCTGCTGACAAGCCCACGATGACAAATTTGCACCACTGAAACGTGATGGCTGTCCTCAGTACTTGAGTTCCCCGATCGACAACATTCTCAAAATACTTCAGGTATATACAAGCACCTCCGAAGTGGCGGCCCCTAGAGAGGAGAACCCAACAGATGGAAGCCAAGTGGGCAAACGGTGCCTCACACGCACCCTGTAGCACCAGGAGAACTACCGCAAGGGTCTCTTGCAGACCCCGCTGATCAACAGTGCTGTGGGGTGCAAAGGTATCGGGCTCATGAGCCTGAACAGCGGCTGTATGCGTCGTGCGCCATGCAGGAAAATGTCGAGACCCGATGTTGGTGTTCATCGGCGAGGGGCACTGCTAGCAGCATGAGAAACGTTGCGGCGCCCCAGCGCCCACCATACCAGTCCGAGAGGACAAAGGGAATTGCGGGTCACTTCAGCTGCGCGTGGCGCACCAGCAGCGGCCGGCTGGATTTATGAATGGAAGGTGGCCGTGCATGGGGAGGCTTCACGCCCCTCGGGGTGGCCGAGCCCCAACAGCGACGCCACCTCCTCCGCCCAAAATCTGTGTGGACCCATCCAGACGCTCCACACACGGCGCAAATTCGCCTCAACGTTCACTAATTGTCCATAGGAACGCGAGATGTGGAGCCGTTGTCGCCCGAGGGAACCGACCCATTGGTGGCCGCGGGTGGCGGGGCACTGTTGCCCTCGGCGCGCACGCCACCGCCTGTCGCGCCATCTGCACCTGTGGTGTCGGCACCGCGGCCGTTGGGTTGCTGCTGCTGCCGCCAGGGCTCACGCAATGCCCGGCGCTCCTCCGCCGCTGCTGTGTTGTTTCCCGCGCTGCTCTGGCCCCGCTGCGCCTGCTGCGCCTGCTGCGCCTGCTGCGCCTGCTGCGCCTGCTGCGCCTGCTGCGCCTGCTGCAGGACCTGCACCATGGTGGCACCCACCACATCCTGCAGCAGCGCCTCCCCCTTCGCGTCGCCCCCCGCACCGCCACGCGCGTGCAGGCGCCGCATCTGCTGCTCCACCGCCGCGAGCGGCAGCACCGGCTCCGCCTGCACAGCGCCGCCCTGCTGCTGCGTGTCCATGCCGGCGCTGCTCCCGCTCCCCGTGCCGCGGCCGTCGCGCCTGACACCTTCCGACTGCCAGGTGCTGCTGCCGTTGCCACTGGTTGCAACGCTGTCGCTGCTGACGCCGCTGCTGCCGCTGCCGAGCGCGCCGCCTCCCACACTCTGCAGGGCTCCAGCCACAAAATCCCCCAGGTCCAGCGAGCCGCCAGACCCTGCAGACCCCAGACCCCCAGCAGCTTGCCCCGGCGACGCCGCGCCGCTCGCGCCCGGGCTGCTGCCGGGGCTGAGTGTCTGCAGTGCGGCCGGCAGGCCCGCGGGCGGCGCCCACGGCAGCCCCCACTGTGCGGGGGGCGCCTTGACGCCGCCCTGCCTGGCGACGGCGAGTGGGTCCGCCAGGTTTTGCAGCGCTGTGAAGTTGGAGTGCGAGGGGCTGGTGCTGAGCAGGTTGAGCCGCGCCTGGTAGGCCTCCAGCTGCGGATACGAGGATTGGGTTTGAGATTGAAGAGTGAAAAAGGTGGAATGCTTGAAGTTTTGGGCGTTCTAAAGTACTTGCATAAGGTAGGCGAGTGGTGTGTGGCGGCCTTGGAGTAAGGGTTGCACGCGCCTCAGGTGTGGGTTCAGCATGGCTGCAGCCATCGCCACTGCCCTGGGCGCAAGCCTCGCTTGACAGTTCCTCAAAGGCGTGCCGAGCGAGCCGGCGGTTGCGGGCCCCTCTCACGTTCGGCAGGCACTTGTAGGCTACCGGGGAGAGCCGTGTGCGGCGCGACGGCATGATGCGCAGGCACTTTGGGTCAAGCAGGTCAAACGCCTCCACCAGCAGCTGCTGCAGCAGCAGGCAGCGCGTCCACCTGGCGCCCGCACGTGGGTTTGGCAGTTACGAGGGTGGCTTGAGGGGCAGGTGTGGCTGAGGGGGAAGGATGAGGGTTCTTCTAGTTGGCGCGAGCTGCGGTGCCGTGCCACTACGGATATTGCTGCAGGCAGATTCATCCCATGACAAGCATTGATAGCGAATTACGATGCAGCACGCGGGGCCCGCCGCAGCTTGACCACCCCAACACATCCAACGAGACGGCCGCTTCTGCCTCACTCCCATTCCCTCCTTGCTGGCTGCTGCCCGTGGGGCATCCACCCGCAGCTGTCCCACACCCCACCCTTCCGCTCCGTTGCAGCTGCGCCCTGCCCTGCCCTGACCTGACCTGCCCTGCCCCCGCACACCTGTGGCAGGGGAAGGGCGGCTCCCCCCTCCAGCTGGGCCCCGTCAGCAGCTCGGCCAGGCCCTCCTCCAGGGGCTGGAACCAGGGGGCAAAGCTGGGGTCACCCTTGAGGCGCGCAGCAAACTTGGGGGGAAGGGTGGGGAGCAGGAGACAGAGAAGTGCGATGAGGGGAGCAGCGCGGGCATCAACAGGCCGACAGGGTCTGGTGAACCAAGTGTGGATAGGACAGTTTCACCCTCAGAAGCACAACGCATGCTGGCATCACGCCGGGTCGCGAGCGCCAACACCCTGCATCCCGCAAGCCTGGCACCTGGCGGGCCTGGCATCTGATGAGCAAGCACGCACGCAGGGGCCACTCTGCCCGGGCCCGCTGCCTGGCGCAGGCCTGTTGGCGCCGACGCGAGATTTCTTTACCCTGCAACCCTGGATCCAGCCGGGCGCAGCGCGGCCCGCGGACCCCTGGCACTCACGTCTGAGTAGGACATGGTGTAGTGGCGCTTGGCCCCGACGGGGGTGGTCACCATGCTCGCGCCGATGGCGCGCTGCAGGCCGCGGCTGATGCGCAGGGGGACGTCCGGGGTGCCACGCTGGAGAGGAATCGGGGAGGGGGGGAGGGTGGGTGGATGGGTGGCTGACAGTAGGGCGACACAAGCCCCACCAAAGGACCATCAAGCCGGGTTCTGGTGTTCAGGAAGAGAGCCCTGCCGCGCTGCTCTTGCAGCGCCTGAGCCGGCCGCAAACACGGCGCGCGCTATTGAGCGTCCTGACAATCACTGCCGACGCGGCTGTGGCGTTCATCACTGTCGCGCTCCCTTCTGGGCACCCCGTGCTGCTGTCAACACGCACCCACCTCGGCTGCGCAGGCGTCGACGGAACTCAGGACGTCGAGCTTCCTCTCCCTCGCCCCTGGGTGGTCGCGCCCGTCCCCCTCACAGCCCCACGACTGTTGGGAAAGCGAGGTTGAGGGGATGGGAAAACTGACAAGAGCGCAGCTGGGAGGACATAAAGTCAGGGGCTTAGGGTTGCGTGGCAGCGGCATGTGCCAGGCTGTGAAGAAGCATTGACATGCCCGTGCAATGTTCGTGCAGCAACAAGCACCCAACAGTCCAACCGTCCAGCCTCCCCCCCCCTGCTGGCCGCACCTGCAGTGTTGCCGGGGATGCGCACAGCACAAACCTGGGCAGGGCAGGCAGGGGTGTCGGGCACATTGTGTAAGGGTAGGTCATCATCGCATCACATTACCCAAGCTCACAGCGGATCCCATCAGCCATCATACATGCGATGACGCGTCAACTGTCTCAACTATCCCCCGTGTTGCCTTGCTCCACGCCCACGCCGGTCCTTGCAAATGCAATATCAACCCCCCCCCCAAACGATGATCTGGTGCAAACCGCAGGCACCGCGCCCTGAAGCCCTGCTGAGGCACACGCGCACTCGCGTGCGCACACGCACACGCATGCGCACCCCCGCTCCCCACACACACACCAACACGCACGTCCGCATGATGATTGACATCATGCTGCCTTGCAGCTGGCGCAGCCAATGCCGCAGATGCGGCCAACCCTGCCACAAACACATCGCACATAGCGCTGCCCCCCCTTTTTCATCAGCTCCACCC